TGGGCATTGTTGAAGCATTACGAGATCGAGGTCGCCGTCCGCTCGTACTTGAAAGAACTTCACTTGGAAAAATATGCGGACATGGATAATTTAACCGCTTTCCGGTCACTAACCCTCGAGTGTTTTAGCACGATTCAAAGCCATGACGACGGAAACTTCCTCACTTGTCGTTTAAACGGGAAGGAGATCAAAATCACGGATAAAGTTCTATGCGAAATTTATGGCTTGAAGATAACGGGCGCTCGTCAGAAACCCCAAAACTTCCAAACTGATAAGCACTCGGCCGACTTATCACCATGCTGGTCATTCAACAGGAAAGGACCTTCTGCCGGTCTGATCAATGAGCTACCTATCGCAATTGTGCATAAATTCCTCTCTTACAACATCTTTGGAAAAATAGAGGCGAATAAAGTCAGCGAACAAGAGTTGTTGGTTATGTGGGCAATGTGCAAGAAGAAATCGATATGCCTACTCCCGTTCCTCAAGCAAGCCCTTGTCGATACGCGTAATAGGTCCAAGAGCTACCCTACCTTAGCTCATGTGGTTACAGAACTCGCTGACTACTTCAAAATCCCCGCATCTACGGAAGAGGGAATTGGTGCTGCGGTCATTGGGTATGAAGAGCTTCGGGCCGGAGGTTTTCTGAACAAAGGGCTCAAGGTCACACACTTTTCCGAGCGTAAATGCTACGAGGTATACTTACGGGAAGAGGAGTTGAAGAGAATGGCTCGAGGAGAGGGTTCTTCGAAACAAGCCACATGAGGTCCTTCTCAACCGGTGGCAGGAGAGCAGGCTGAGCCGACGGATCACGTTCCGGAGGCCGAGGACCACCACGATCACGGCGAATATCAGCCGTCCCCCTCGATGGACGACCACCCGAGCACTTTTTCACAGCAGGCTCCCCCCTGGTTCTCCACGTTCCAGGCTCGGTATGATGAGCACCAGACCAGGACTGACGAGCAGTATCGAGCCATCCACTCCGCAGTCGAGTCGCACAATGTGCGCCTCGACTCATATATAGAGCATAATGATGCTCGTTGGCAGTCCTTCCTGGAGGCTAATGACGAGCGTTGGGCACAACAGACAAAGGAGTGGAACGACTTCAAGCAGACCAACGAGGCGCACTGGACAGCCCATGACACCCGTTGGGATACTTGGGAGGCGCAGCGATACCAGCACCCACCTCCGCCACCACCGAACGCACAGTGACTTGTCACTGTGCTTTGTATGTTTTTCTTTTCCTTTCTCTTTTATTTTTGTATAGCTTCTTTTATTTCGAGTCGTGTTTCATTATATGGTTTTCTCTCCTTCACTGAGAATTTACAATGGGGACATTGTTCGGTTTTAAGTGTGGGGGAGTTTTACGTGCTTACGTGACTATGTGGTGGACCAGGTCTAGTTCTTGCCTTAGGTTGTCTTTTATTTCTTTTCTCTTGCTTGGTGGTCCGGTCTAGTTTTTAGGATTTTATTTGTTGTGTCTTTCTGAGCTTGGACTTTGGTGTATGACAAGAATAGTTGAAGATTGATTGATTGAGTTAAAAAGTTGTGATAATGAGAATGAGTGGCATACCTTGACGAACTTGATTTGTTATTTTGGATGACGTTATCTACCTTGTGAGGCTTGAGCCATATTCGTTTCTTGTGAGATGTTGGTCTGAAATTTGTTCAATTAGAATTTGCCTTGAGTCTACTTCGAAATGAATTAATTGGATTGTGAAACGTGAAAATGATTGAGGCATTCCTTGTATTTTCTCTCCTTTTCTCTTTGAATAATAATCACTAGTCACCCCCTTTGAGCCTTATATGATTTTATTGTTAACCTCGTGATGATGATATTGAGTTTCGGGTTGAGAGTTGGAGTTGTTGGTTGATTAAGTTGTGAATTCGTTCATTTGATTTGTTAAAAAAAAAAAAAATCAAATAAAAAAGGGGAAGCCAAATGGATTATACTCCTATCGCTCAGTCCACTAATTTAGTAGATACGAGCCATGAGTACGGGAAACCGGTCTAGGAGACTCGAGCAGAAAACTCGAAGGACAAACCTAGATAAGATGTCCAAATAGTTTTTACACAAAA